ACGGATTGAACATTACGGGATTCTCGTGGCAGTACTTATTTCTTTTAAATATTAGTTCTAGTTTGGTCATATTCGTTTTAATTTACAACATTACGGATTGAACATTACGTGATTCTCGTGGCAGTGTTTAGAACTAATATTTAAAACAACTAAGTTTGTTTTAAATATTAGTTCAAAACGTTTTGAACTAAGATTTTCCGCATTTGCACCATATTATGATTTAATAATAACGTAGCGTTATCGTCTCGATCAACCATTCCTTCTGGAATAAATTCAAGAACAGTTGTAGTTTGCAATGATAAAGGTGTCCACTGGAAGATGTCAGTGTCGCAAAGTTTAGAGGGCTTAATAGGCTCTGACTGTCCCTTAATGCAAAGTTAGATTTATTCCTTCTATGAGAAATATAAAAGTTATGATTCTTTGGACTTACTAAGTCAGTAATGTCGGTAAGGAAAGCGTTTTTTGAGGGTATTCCAAGTTTTGCCTTAATATTCTAATTCCCGAGAGGAAATGAAATTTAACTTTAGCTAGTTGACATGTCATAAAAAGGTATCTCTAGCAATCTCGGCCTTTTTCTCTCTTTGGAAACTAAGGTGATTTTGGAATGAATGATAATTGATATAGAAAATACGATTTTGAGATTAAATTGGGTTCTCCGTCTGATGCCGCCCAAAAGAATGTTTTGAAAACAAATACAGGTTTCTTCCATCTTTAAAATTAATACTCTTTCCGTGAGTCGTTTTTGTTGTATGTCTTTTTGTGCGAGTCTTCTTTAATGGCATGATAAGATTTTTTTTATTTTGATAGATGTCTGTGGTTCACCTAACGGATTTATTTTTAGTTATAGTTGCATTTGACCAAACTGTGTTTAAGAAAGACAAATATAGTTAAAACTAATAAATAAAACATTTCGCAACAAAAATAAAACTACCATATTACAATTAAAATTACACATAACGTTTACTTGTATTGTTTAAGTAATGTTAATCATAATTATATATGATGCTGAATCTGGGCTACTATTTATTTTATTTTATTACGAATTTATTTATACAAATTCTTTTCTTTATGTGAAAAGTTTCCAAGCGAGCAGGTGGTTCACCTGATGTTAAGTGAATACCACCGCCCATGGACATCTGCTACACCCGACGGCTTGCAGATGCGTTGACAACCTTTTGAAAATTGGGCTCCGGCTACCTCACTCACCAAACGAAACGCGAAAGTATTATATTTCCACTTTACGCCGGGCTTCTGTGAGGTAGTGGTACTTACCCGGACGAGCCTGCCCATTCGTGCAACAGCCGAGGATGCTGCGTGGCCCTACCACCGTATCGTGCTGGTTGCATGCTCCGAAAGGCGGCCTTTAAACTACAAAATTTTGTGTTCTCTCAGCCGTAGCCCTTTCGAAACTCGACCCCCGTGAAACCGCATTCGACGCTAAGTGGTCGATATCTTTAACTATTTTACGGCCACGCAAGAGTTCGCTGCGGTCCGGGGAGTCTCGGGCTGGGTTTCGGGCTGGAGTCCGGGGAAGTACCACGACCTCACAGAAGCCCGGCGTAAAGTGGAAGTATAATACTTTCGCGTTTCGTTTGGTGAGTGAGGTAGCCGGGGCCCACTTTATTGAAAGGTGGCAACGCATCTGCAACCCTACGGGTGTTGCAAATGTCAATGGGCGGCGATAATCACTTAACATCAGGTGAACCGCCAGCTCGCTTGCCACCTTCTGACATAAAAAAAATATCGACCATTATTGCAATCCAAATAGAGCAGCACTAAAAAATATTTCAATATTTATGAGTAGTTAACATTGGGAACAAGTAAGAACTTTATACGTCACATTCATGTAAGTTAAATAAATTGAAGTGTCATATATGTCGAAACAAGTTTAACTTCATAAGTAGACTTGGGAAGTAATAACTTTTTTTTTTTTCTTGACGGTAAATAAATGTTGACTCGTATAAAAATTTGAACAAATGATATTTGTCTCGTTGTGCTGATTTCTATCTTGAAATAACAAGACATTCAGTAGTGTTAACTTTTATTATAAAAATACCGTGAAAAATTTTTAGTAATGAGCAATAAGAAAAGTGTTTTTGACACAATGTAATATAAACCCGTCATACAGAGCCGTGATAGCTCATTGTCCGGGCGCTCGCTTTGAATTCTATATACTCGAGCAACCTGAGTTCGATCTCCGCTGCCCGCACCAATAAAATTGTTAGTTTTAAGTGCTGACTTATCACGTGCTCAGCGGTGAAGGAAAACATCGTGAGGAACGGTACATTATGGAAATAATAGAAAAAAGCATATTTCCAAGATACGTCGTAATACGCCAATTAGCAGTGAGTTCGCGTGGTGGACAATGCCCAGATACCCTCTGTACAGAGGAGGCCTTTGTCAAGCAGCTTACGTAACTTACTTTACAAATATTTCTTCGGGACGCAGCGGTCGCAGAGAGACTAGCAAAAAAAAATAACACCTATTACCAAATAAGACGACGAGATCTCCGTCCATTCTCCCTACAGCAAAAACTGTGCAGATCAAAAATATATATATATATATATATATATATATATATATATATATATATTATTTTTTTATATATATGTATATACATATTTATGAAGAAAAAAAAAGAAAAAGAAATAATAATAATAAAATATATATATATATATATATATAAATATGAACTCACTGCTGCATCGCTACCAGCCCGGTTGATGTACGCGGCGGTGACAGCACAAAAAGAAAATTAAAAAAAAATAAAACATGTTAACCAAAAAAAAAAACAGTACGGACCACGAGACTGTAGAGTTACTTTGAAAATTAAAAAATGAAAATGAATAAATTAAAAAAAAAATTATTTGTTCCATTCGGGAAACTCACCCACGACAGTATTTATGTGTTACTAAGAGACTACTAAGAGAGAGAAGTACTACTCTAGTAGAAGAGAGTACTAAGAAACTGATGTACCACATCGATAAGGATCGGTCTACAATTAAACCAAATTATCATACGATTTAGTAACGGATTCGTATCGCTGAATATTAACAACCACGGTCGCTCCGGTTAGTCTGTAGTGCGTACATTAATTCATACATGCGAGAGACCAGCCCCTAAGCCCTGAACACTGTAATCGACCGAACTATGCCAACGGTACTTGTTTCTATTCGATTAAACTTTGCTAAAGAGCTATAAATGCTTTACGTGATTTGCAAAGCATGGCAGTTGTAAGGTACACTTAAACTTAAGGCAATACGCCGCTAGTAATGTCGGTTACGTTTATTGTAGGGCCATTAAAGAAGCGTACAGTTCAATTGTAATTCGTGTACTTGCTTATCACCAAACTTCGCAGCAACGCAACGAAATGTAGTTATCATAGTTTGAATAGACTAATGAAATCTCACCGATACACAAACTTTTGAAAAATATTGTTTTCAACCAAAAACAAAAAACAAAATTTTTATTGTATATTTTAAACAGATTATTAGTTTTCTTTTATAACCTATCAATTAGGAATAAAAGCTTGATACTTATAAATATATTTATAAACATCAAGCTTTTATTTAATTGAACCAATGTAAAAAAAAGGTTAAATAAATAATATAAACAACATTTTCTAGTCCCAAACTAAGCAACGTTTCTAGGTAACACCCGCACTTGATAGCTGAAAAGCATACGTAAACGTACATTTTCTTTGTAAATAAATACATATGATAAATTTATAAATACCAAACACTGGAAAAACACTTGAAAACCACTATGTTCATTAAAATACACTGGAAAAACACTATGTTCAATAACAATATTTTTCCAGTAGTGGGGATCGAACCCACACCCTCTGACGTAAGAGGTAGAGCACTACCGTCAAAAGTAATTCGTGATATTCGGCGGACATAACATAAGGATTCTAACTTAGAGCGCACACATATGCTAAATCCGCCATCTTTATGGCCCTTCCGGTCGTAAACAAGGAACCAAATAGCCCGCATACGGTCCACCTGAGACTGGGGTGAAGTTTGTTAGTACGCTTACCAACTTCCGTGGATTACAGTTACAATAATCTATGAAACAGTACCTACATATTAAGCATTCAAAACAAAACCTATATTTGTACACATTTTAAAATAACCACGATACTTCATATTAAAGTCAACAATTATTTTTTTATTACTATTCAATGTAATTATAGTTCTCTAATGATTTATTGAATTAATATGGTATATTTATTATCATTATAGGTCCTTAGACCACGCAGCGGCTTCTGCTGTTTTACGGCGTGCTTGTCTAATAATGTCTTTTTGTGTTTCGTCATGACTTTCGTAGCCTACACCTCCACGGGTTTTTTGGGTGTCCATGGCCGCCATAGTCACTTAGAACTTACACTTTACACTCATCCATCATAAAAACAGTTCTATAATCTTGAACGAGTTTAATTCATGCCAGATTACCTTAAGTCTAGCTGGACATGACTACATAGTATAAAACAAATGCATCCCACTGTTTTTCTGTCCCTATGTATGCTTAGATCTTTAAAACTACGCAACGGAACTTAATGCGGTTTTTTTACAAGATAGAGTGATTCAAGAGGAAGGTTTATATGTATAATACTTTGCACCCGTGCGAAGCCGGGGCGGGTCGCTAGTTGTCTATATAGTTTGTATACTAGCGCTCCAAATGGCTTTAATTTTGAAATAAAATTAAAATAAAATCCTTTTAATTAGAGACAATATTTTAAATAATGGTCTACCATTTAATTGAAACGGAACGAAACAACGAAACCAAACACAACAAAAATAAAAAATAATAAAGAAGGTACTTCGATGTCGAGTCGCTTAATAGAAACGTTTTTGACGTATTACAAGTACGGCGTGTGTTCATCATAATATTATACAGTTTGTGCCAAAATTTTTGGGTTTTAAGTAAGTTTTATAGTTATTGTGTTTGAAGAACAATATTTCTACAACTATCTTGAAACGACATGATTAATAGTAGACATGAAGAGCCCAGTTGAGGTGAGTATATTTTCAAGATACGTGTTTGTATCTGGATTTTATTCAAAGACCTTCTTTGGATTCGCTTTCTACTCTTCATAGTTAGACTTAATATCACAAAGTAAAAGATATTTACCATTTAATAAACACTTAAAATATGATTTGGTTCTTTTAAAAGTGTTTAAAAGTTATTGACTAAACAAAATAACGTATCTTATCGTTGGTTAATAGAATGTAGATTATGACAAATGGTATTTGAGTTGGTAAGGCTCTTGCGAGTCGGTTAATTCGAACGCGCGCAAATAGGTCAACAAGGTAATTAGTACGTTCACACTACCGTCAATGCGTCGGAAACGTCAAGAGACGTCGTTGTTTACAGCTGATCTTAGACACTATAATACATACTAGACTTTAGAATTGTAGCCTCCATTAGAATTGTCACCACTAGCAAGCAAATAAGTTCTAGGCAAGTAACTATAAAACTCGGAAGCTTTTATTATTGCGCCTGAAAATACAAAGTGTTCAAATTGCTTAAGAGAATATAGCTTTGTTATGGACATACCATTGTGGCATAATTGTGTAAAACTAATTAACTTGCTTCTGTTTTATATTACATAAGGTCAGAAGTTGAAATTATAAGTATAACTCATAAATATTGATTAATTTATTGATATACATTTAACTATGTATATATATTCCTTAAAAGTAAAAACTATTTTCCCTATATTGAAAAGAAAAATATCTGAAGAGTAATATATCTCATGACATATCATCATTTTAGGTTCGATGCATTGTGTGTCAACTAGTTTTCTGTTGCGCTGACTGCCGGTGGAGACATGAGAGAACGGAGCACAACTTGACGTTCGACTGTCCGATCTGCCGTGGAAAGAGGTTCCTTTGCCGACCGGAGCAATTAAACGAAGCCTTCATACGACATCTGGCGGACGAGCATATACCGCTGCAGTGTCGCAAGTGTAATAAACTCTTCAGCAATATGGAGGACCTTGTCGACATCGAGAAGTGCGTGACGATATCTGAACTGATCGACACCGAGTGCTTAGCGAAGGGCGAGATACTGGAGGCGATAGACAATAAATTCGATTCGCTATACGACAAGGTGACGAATAACAATGAGGGTGAAGACTTCGAAGCTATAGTATCTATCAACAAGTCCAACAAAACGGCGGTGATCACTCCGATCGTGAGGAAAAAACACTTGGTGGATTACGAGTCCAGCGAGACGGACTCGGAAGAAGGTTCCAAAATAGAAATTATGAGAACACCACATCCGAAAGTTGCACCGAAGACGCCCCGCTTGAAAAAGCAACGTTCAGCAACGCCGCATGCCAAGAAGTTCATCACTCTAATGCGACAAAAAGTCGTTGAAGAATACGACGAAAGCATAGGAATAGAAGAAAACATTGATGGATCACCGGTCAATGGAAGCCCATCTGGAATAAATCGCTTGGAAGGTAAAGTTTTAAAACCTGACCTTTATAAGGCATATTTTTAAATTTTATTCATATTCGAGAACTTTAATCAATCTTGTAAAACAAGGAACTGTAGTCCAGGTTGTATTCGATATGAGCTATGATGAAAAACGATTAATTGAGGCAAAAAAAATTTGGGTGATTTAGGCGATCAATTCATTAAAATATAAAAAAATACTCAAAACATTACAACAAACAAAAATTATCCAAATAAGAAGTTCAGCAATCGCAAAACAGTTTCAGAGTCTGAAAAAGGTGTGACAACACCGACTTCGCAGTTGCAACACATGCTCAAGCTAGCTCAGGCTGTCACGACCAGTACGCCCACACATCCAGCCACGGCGGGATGGTCCTTGTTCCAAGAGCAGGGTGTGGACTCACCACTCTCAGAAATAGAGACCACTGAGAACTCCCCCGCACAAAGTATGGATACTGATGTAAGATTTGTTTTTATAACTGCTTTTTCCAGCTTCCTTGCTTGTTTCGTTCTTATTGAAACGATTCAGTTAACTATCACGTTTCAATTCAACGTGCAAACTGTCTTCATTGAAGTACAACACTTTTTGCATTTATAATTCTATTGCGGCTATGTCGACATTACATTTCAATTTTTAATATAAAAAATAACCTTGGTACCTACAGAAAAATATTAGCGGTTAGATTTGATGATAAGCCGCCTTTTCAATGTTTCGCTGTGCAGTAATGTAGCAAAATTATGAAAGTAAGCTTTTGGAGAAAAAAATCAAAGGCATGTAAGGCCACACAAGAGGTCGCTTGTTCGACTATAGCCTAATACCCTTTGTACCGTCTTTTACAATACACTGCTGGATAAAGGCCTTTGCCGCCCTGTGGGACATTTAAAGGCAGATACTTAACTTAACTTCATGTTATTTTCAGCCAAAAACGGAATCCGATGTTGTGCAGCCAAAGCTGAAGAGCATAATTGTCACCGAAAGCCGCCTTCGCATTGGCAGTCAAGACAGTTTGGAAAAACAGGCCACCTTCCAGGAGACTGGAAATAGTACAGAAGCATCCGTAAAAGCTAAAAAGGTTAAATTTGCACAGGACACAATTTTCAAGCCGGAACCAATAATCAAGAGAGGTAAATAGACGTTTAAAAAACTGGCCAAGTGCGAGTCGAATTAGCACACGAAAGGTTCCGTTCCATTATCTATAAAAAGGGCAAAAACTTATATCTGCTGTATGGGAGCCCCATTTAAATATTTTTATTCTGTTTTAGTATTTATTGTTATAATGGCAAAAGTAATACATCTCCTGTGAAAATTTCAACTGTCTAACTATTACGGTTTATGAGATACAGTCTGGTGACAGACGGACGGACAGACAGACAAACAGACAGACAGTTTTAGTAATACGCTCCCGTTTTACCCTTTGGGTACGGAATCCTAAAAACTATTCATGTATGCAAAGGTTGAATTAAACACAAAGGAATAACTACTTCAATAATGTTACTAAGACAACATTCCATTTAATTTATTCTTATAATGTAAACTGATGATTAATGTAACTATAGAAATGGACGATATAACTATTGAAAAATAGTATTTGTTAAGATTCTTGATTGAACATTAACAAATTCGAGGAGTTATTTTATATCTTCGCTCCTTGTATTACAAAAATATTAGTTTTAAGGTTTGATCATGTAGCGAATAAAATCAAAGAAAGAGCCCGCTACACTTCAAGTGTAGTTGGGACTAAAATTCAAACATTCCCTGTTATTAAGCTTTTTTGAAATCATAATACCAGTGAAGCTTCAACTATTTCCTATGAATTCATCACAAACTTTTATATTAAGTGCAATTAAAGGAATTTCCAACTCCATAAAACTTCTTATTTAAAATGTCGTGTAAAAATTTTCAAAGATACTAAAAACCTTAAAACTAAAAGCTTTCTTCAAATACAATAACAATTTAGAGAATAAAAATTTATACAGATGGACACCAAAAAAAAAACGTTATCTCAATATACTTTCTTTTTAGTATACAGGAAACCGAAGAGGATGCTAACGCCCGGTCCACAGAAGCCGCGTTTTTGCCACAACCCCCGCTTTCAAGCGCTGATAAATCGGTTCGAGAGTCAAGCGAGGACACCGGTCCAAGTGAAACGACAGAAGCCCGCCGAGACGACGCCTCCCGTCGGCGAACACAACATGCACGCTAGGGCAATCGACTTCAAAGATGAGAGCACCGCCGTTGAAACGGAGAGCCACTCGAGAGAATCGAATGAATTATTCAGCACCTGCATCGACACTCCGGCGGAGCCGATCAACAACGCTATAACAACGCTCACGGCCAATATAGCGGGCACTCTGCAGACTTGCCTCAATTCCGTGCTACGGACGACGGAAGAGGAGACGGAGATACAGTTCAAATTTGTTATCACTAAAAAGAAAGTCAGCGTGAAAAGGATCGCAGACGAGTGCGAGGGGGTGGAGGAGAGAATGAACAGCTTACACGAAGAATCGGCTTCGAACAAGGAAAACATCTGGTCGTCAGTTGCGAGAGCGGTTAAAAACGTGTTTTGGGGAGATCAAGGTATATTTCATTGACATAAATGCTTAAAACTAACTTAATGTCTTCACAAAAAAGTAAAGTAACCGCCTATACATGTCCCAGTGCTGGACAAAGGCCTCCTATGTACAAAGTGCATAGGAGGCCTTCCACGCGGTATCACTGCGGATTGGCAGACTTGACATATCTTCGAAATATTTTTTTTTGTATTATTTAGAAAATATGCCGGTTTCACCGCGATGTTTTCCTTCACTGCTGAGCACGTAATAAAATCATCACTTAAAATTAATATTTTCATTGGCACCGGGAACTTAGGTTGCTCGAAATTGAATTAAAAGCAAGCGGCCGGACACTGAGCTATCACGACTCATGTTCTCATTTATACTTGCACGAGGCCTTTTAAGGCGAATAATAAACTTATGTTTCTTATATAAGACCTAGGCCGGGACACCATGAACAAAATTAACATTTTTTTTTTTTCTTTAAATATGTACGTATATAGAAAAAGGGTAAGAGGTACAACTAACTATTAATAAATTAAACAACACGAAGTGTTCAGTAAGCTTATAATACATATGGTTTTTTTCATCCGCTGCATACCCTCTTTTCTGCTCCAATCACTTTATTTTACACGGAGGGTCGGCGTATTTTAATACGTTTTATCTCTTTCCCCTTTTTACTTCCAACATTGTGGAGCGCATTTAGGGTGATGGATCGTAATTTTGTCCTTACTGTATACGTTCCACGGCTATTTTATTTCGTAATTTGCACACGAGTTATTTAAGCCGGGGTATTTTATTAAGTTGAGGAAATTATGTGCAATGAAGAACGTGGAACGCGTATCTTGTGTTGCCTCTAACAAGAAAACCGTTCTACATCCCTTATTAATCAAATTTAAATGAAGTACTAAAAAAGAAATTGCTAAAATACTGTCTGCTCCAATAATATTTAATCATATATACGAAAATATAGTATAAATGTAAACGCATGTCCATACAGCGTGGCGTTAAAAAATTGTTCCACTTTACATTATATGATATAATTAAGTGAATGTGACATGTGATAAGGAACGTATGATTCGGAAAGAGATAGCAGTCTATAGAATTAGACCAATTGGCGTAATTTGGGTGGCTCAGTTCCGGTGCGCTAGTGTCATAATATCTACCTTATGACTTTTTCCAATGTCTTTATTTCTTAACTGTAATCATTTAACGGAACAGTTGCAGCTAGAAAAAAAATTTTAAGTTTAGAGTCATGGCAGCGAAAAAAAAATTAAAATTTATCTATCAAAGTCATAATTTAATAGCTTAATACAAAAGGCCCCGGCTACCGTCAATTATAATTATAATTGACGGTAGCCGGGGTTAACTATGACGTCAAGACGTGTAACAACTTCTGTCTCGTGACCAAGAATGTTGGAAAGGGTCCGAAACGTCGGTAATTTCAAAACAAAATGAGAACGCGATAACAATCCGTAAACTAGTTTCATTTAAAATGTCTAATACTCGCGTAAAATCAACGACTCAATAAGCTTAATACAATCTTTTTTCAGCGTCACAAACGCCGTACCAGTCCTACGAGGACCACGACTCCACAGCCTCGTCTGCGTCCAAACGAAAGTGCGACGACATGTCTGACTCAGAGATCAGTCCACTTAATCACAAACGCCACAAATACGAGGGTCGCATCCGCGGCCGACCACCCCTCAAACGGAGCAAGTCTTGGGGGGTGTCGGGGCTTAGATCGCAAACGACAGAACAGTTGGAGCTGAAAAACACAACACTAATGAACGAGGAGACCATCAACCAGAGCTTTTAGTCGAACGTTGCAAAATGAATGGCTGGCAGCTAAACTGAACCTGTTTAAACGTCGAAGAACTTTGTTACTGTTAACGACTTTTTTAACTTCTTGCGTTTAATTTAGTTCTGTTTTGCTTGAATTACTTTAAAACATTTTAAGATATTTATTTTGTTACGTCCTGCCCTGGATTTTGGACAAGAATGTGATCTTTTGTAATTTGATTAATTATTGGATTTAAATTATATGTTCCAAAAGTGTTTTGAATGTTTCAATATCAACTTGAACCAATTTAAATTGTTGTGTTCCCGCAACACATTACACATTATTTGTTTGAATATGAATTTATATAGGTTTGATTGATTACTACGTAAATCTATGTGTAACAGAAGATTTGTCTTCCTCATGTCAGTTTTTAAGTCCCCCTTAAATTTTGAAGGTTAATTTTTCATTGCTTTTAAGTTGAATTTAAAGTTCTTTTGTCACATTTGTAAAAAATTATGAGAATAAAATTTTTACAATGCGCACGCACCCGCCCTCAAAAAGCGACATGGTTTTACCATGGCAACCAATAATAACTTTTTGACATTTACCAATAATTCCAAGTTATTTAAATAAACCGTTGTTAATTGAATTTAATGTATTTACGTTACAGATGTATAACTTCTTTCTTGCATTCTTCAGTAGACACATACTTTTTTTCTATTTTTTTAACTCTCAGATACGAATGAACTGCAATCCATTTTTGAATAATGCTAAACTTGGAAGTATTCTGAATTTCGTAAGCTGAGTGTGAGCACTTCACATTGATTATTGTGTAAAAGAATGTATTCAAAGTCGAAGTCAAACTCAAAACTTTCTTTTTCAAACAAGCTTAATTATTTAAAGTCTTAATGGACATCAAAAAAACTAAAAAGGATGTATTATCATCAGTTAAAAAAATATTTTATTATTATTTATTATAAACAGACTACGAAGGTCTGGAAAGTCTTTTTCAACTCCTCAGGTATTCCGACTGTCCATGAATGGCGGTGGTCACTTAAAATGTTAAGTGTAATGAGATGAGGCGGTTACTTTCTCCAACAAGTCTGTCAGTCTTACTGGGGTGTAGAAGCTGCGTTCTATTTTCGTAGCTTTACCCTACTGATGTTCACAATTTTTTGACGATTCCCAACGTACTTAAGATTTTACGTGCACAATTACCTTACCTTTGCTCATGCTGTACTTCGACCGTTTCACCGCTTTTTTTTTTCTGAAGGAGCTTGGTTAAACGTAGATACGTTTAGCCATCCAAATGGTGTGTCTATTAATTAGGTATTTGCTCCATCACCTGATAACAAGTAAGTTTGTTTGTAAGGATACTTATTTAAGTTTACTACAAAAACGTTTATTACGGTACCTTCGAGTTATTTAAATAGACGAATTTTATGCTAATCGAAACTCGTTATGTTTTAGCCTAAGTCGTATCCAGTACATCTTCCTAGCAATTCGCATGTTTCCAATACACGTACTGACAATTAAAACAATAAGCTTGCATGATATATGTCGAAAACTATCCCCGTTTAATATTCACCACTGTCCCTTCAAAACACAACGGAATGCATTCAAACAATTCTGTTCAAATAAAAAGTTGGTCGGATTTCTCGTAACATTATTCGCATCACGATCGCAGTTCTACGTGACGATATTATTCCGAATTCAAAGGGTAAAAAGTGTGCGCCATATTAAAATGAATTGCTCCCAGTAATAGAAGCTTCTCCATGATAAAATGACAGCGCTACTCCCTGTAGGCGCATTGTAGCTAGGATCCAATCGATGAGATGTTGCCTAGTTTTACTTCAGGTGTCACCTTTACTCCTTTTGGTTGAAAGTTTGATTTGAGCACGAAAAATTAACAGCAAGCCTGTTAATTTTTCGTGAAATTGTGCTTTTTTTATATGAGACGGTGGCAAGCGAGATGGCGGTTCATCTGATGTTAAGTGATAACCGCCGCCTATAGACATTTGCGACACCTGAAGGTTTGCAGATGCCTTGCCACCTCTTAATAAAGTGGACCCTGGCTACCTCAATCGCCAGACGAAAGGTAGAAGTATAATACTTCAACTTCACGCCGGTCTTCTGTGAGGTCGTGGTACTTCCCCGGACGGACCTGCCCATTTTAGCATCAGAGAAAACTGTTGCGTGTTTACCGCTAATTTAGTTTTGTGTAATACTTATACATAGAACGGAATTCAAACATTTACAACGCATAAACTAATCAAGTTTCAATCTCTCAAATAGCAATACATCACTGCAATGTAAAGCTTCGCTTTGAAATAGTTCAATTACTTCTAGATCCGCTTCCGCTTTTAACAAAATAAACATAAACTAACTGAACTTTGAGCAGCATCTAGAGTTTATCAAAGAGTTGACTGATTTGAGTAATCCAGCTTCTACAAAATGTTGAACCCTCGTTCGTTAGACATAGGTATTAGAAAATTGAAGAGCATTAATAATGGAGAGAAGCTACATCGAATTTAATTGAAAACGTGTCGAGAACATCCCAGATTTCTGACACGGATGAATCAAATGTACACTGATAGTATTTGTCAAAGTTAACTCGTGCCTTCAAATAGTTAATTTCGTTGATAAGAGGAGATTTGGACATGCTAAGACGAAGTTTTATTTATTTATATACGAGCAATGTGTATTCCTTTTTCGATATAAGATACCACAGAGCATGTTTTAATACATCCTAATCGCTATGAAGTATCATACATTTTCATAGGCAACTAGTATGCATACTAGTTGACATGTGCGAATTTCTCGCACTGTTCCGTGATCAGCCACTGAACGGAAATATAAGAATGTGTAATTAACTGTTTATCAATTGAATACATATAAAGCAAGATCCCCGGTCCAGCGGACGTCACGTATTTTCTGATGAACGAAATGTGTATGATTGAGTAGTGTTAGTATGTATTATGTGTTATATGCGATCGCATGTCTACCTGTTAGCTTGGCCAGTTGGCCAATTTACAGATAACAGGTAATCAGGATACATACTTACTTCATAGGTACATAGGTACTTCTTCATTTATCATCCGTACAGCTAAGGAATGGAATAGCCTGCCGGCGTCCGTCTTTCCGTCCGAAGACAACTTTGGCGTCTTCAGGGCAAGAGTGAATAGGTTTCTACTGAGCTATCGCGCTTACCATCGACGGCTGCATCGCCACTTACCATCAGGTTGGATGGCAGTCAAGTGCTAGGCAGTTTTTGAATTAAAAAAAAAATAAAAATACTTTTCACTTACCTCACGTAAATTCTCTAATCTGACTTTTAAGTGAAGTTGAGTATATAGTAGAATTATTTTGATACCTTTAAAGCGTCTGTAAACCAATTTGGCCAACGGTAAGTGTCTGGGAGTATTCACGACTTATTTTTAACGAAATTGTCTACAATGTACTTAAATAATATGCAGATAATTCTTTTATAATCTTAATATAACTGCTTTTCGTTTGAATAACATTACCCCATAATAACTTGTCAATATAACTATGACTTACATTTGCATTTTCTGTTTAAAATACGAAAGATATCTAATAACATTGTTAGATATCTTTTTTAGAGTTTTATTTTTACTTCACTATATTTTAGTAACTTCTTCGCATTGTACAACTTAAACGATTATTTCATAGTCATTTTTGGGCGACGAAATAATAAACTAAAATCTCTAAAATAAACTAAACATATTGCTTACTAAAATGTGTTTAAACTTATTTAAAAGTAAGAACTTACAACTGCCACACAACAAAGGGAATGTTCTCCGTTCAAATTTCGAATGCATTTAATTCGATTTAATATAAAATGTACACGCGAAGGTAATTTATTTGTCCATAAATTAAATAAATGTTAATTTGGTATGCAAAACTTCAGCGGCGAGAGCTGTTGGCCCGGAGCGTGTTTTTAAATAAGGCATTTAACAAATTGATTCCTCTCTCTGGCTTTTTATATCATATTCTTCTGTCCTAAATTTTATTTTTTAAAATTAATATAAAATTTACATATAGTACATATTATTATATTAGCATCATCCTAGATAATGAATATGTGGAAATCAATTTGAATCAGTAAATACTCCATCTTTATTTTAATATCATAATACATTTATAACGGTGCTTGTGGTTAAAGCATTATGGGAATTAAACTAGGTGCTACGTCTGTCTGTCTGCCCGCGACTACTTCCGCGTAGAATAGGCTGAAGGCGTAACATTCAGACAGAAAGACAGATATACATAAAATATGTATATAATAGCCGTGATAGCTCAGTGTCCGGGCGCTCGCCTTTAATTCTATATACTCGAGCAACCCGAGTTCGATCCCCGGTGCCGGCACCAATGAAGTTTTTAACTTTAAGTGCTGACTTATCACGTGCTCCGCGGTGAAGGAAAACATCGTGAGGAAACCTGCATATTTTCGAAATAGTAATAAAAAAATATATATATTTCGAAGATATGTGAAGTCCGCCAATCCGCAGTGGGGCCGCGTGGTGGACTATGCCCTGATACCCTCTGTATAGAGGAGGCCTTTGCCCAGCAGTGGGACATGTTTCGGCTGTTACTTACTTTATGTATATAAATTATAGCCTGTGTCCTATTCTGATGTACAAGCTATATTATTGTAAAGTTTCATTAAAATCCATTCAGTAGTATTTGCGTGAAAGAGTAACAAACATCCATCCATACATATAAATTTTCGCGTTTATAATATTAAAGTAAGGATTTCAAATACCTCTAAAATCCGAACAGTGTCGGTGGAATGAAAGTATTTCGATCACTTAACACTTGTGGGTCTGTTTTGAGGGCACCACCAGGTAAATACGTAGGACTTTACAAAAGGCCAGCGTATAGTTTAAGCCAGGTCAGTGAGGTAACCAGTCAAGCTTCTCAAAAGGTTGCAAAACACCTGCATCCCTTCTTGTGTCCGTTTGTCCTGTGGCAATAATCACGCCCAGATCACATTTTGTTTCACTGTGGTACCACGCAGCAGTGATGTTGCACGAATGGGCAGGTCCGTCCGGGTTAGTACCACGACCTCACAGAAGACCGGCGTAACGTAGAAGTGTTGCGCTTCTGCGTTTCGTCTGGTGAGTGAGGTAGCCGACATTATTAAAGGGTGGCGACACATCTGCAACCGGTGTTACAAATGTCCGTGGGTGGCGACACATCTGCAACCGGTGTTACAAATGTCCGTGGGTGGCGGTTATCACTTAATATCAGGTGAACCGCCAGTTCGTTTCCACTTTAACACATAAAAAAAACATCGTTCTCGCATTTCCCTATAAAACAATAGACGAAGAAAATAAATAGTATAACTCAACTCAATTAATTTGATTTGTAACTTGTTCACAGGTCAACGGTTCCTGGGGCCTACCGGCGTTCATATGCGACGTTTACATCGCTATGGACGTCACGTCTTCCACCTCCAGTATTTTCAACCTAGTTGCTATATCTGTGGACAGGTAAAGTTAATGTAGTGTTAAATTCTTAATAATTAAATTAAAATATTTTCCCTTTACGTATTGGGCATGGAAAACATGTATTTACATGTATTTTTATCAACTTGTGACTTTATCATAAAAAGTGGCCACGGCCTGTTCCTCCAATTCATTGAAAATAAAACACTACGTACTGGAGATCCGAATGAGTCCACTATACTATATATATCCATAATACGATGCTGATATATTTCCATAACTGTTCCGAAGATTTATTTATAGCATACCCAGTGCATTCGCGAAATTAATAATTTCAAACATACTGTGAAGGACAGAAAACAGGTTTACTAAATTTAAATGACATCAATCAGTCAAATATCGCGTGGCCAGAGTAAATTATTTGAAGGAAAGACAGAAAACAATTAAATTTTAACGATTACGAACATGGACATGTTTATAATCATTTTCAATTGGACATATTCTATAAAGTCATATTTAACCACGAGCTAATAAAGTAATTATCATAGAAATTGACACTGATCAATCTTCTCTATGTCAGTTACTATTTACGATAAACTAGTATTAATACTTAGTAATAACGGATACCGAGCTTAGAACTTTTTTTTAATATTTAGTGTTTGTAGTATTAAATACAAATGTCCCAAATAAAATAATATAGATTATTAAAAATATGCATTTATATCCTTTTGCTTGCATAAATACCTCTTTTTTCGTTGTTTATTAAGATTAACATTACGGTTTTAGGTTTGATTTTCATTCAAAGCATGTTTACGAGTATATAAGCTACATATAATAATGTGTGTGCGATTTAATAATTTTTTACATGTACGCGATTACACATTACTAAATGAAACTACGTTAACGGATTTATCGCGTTTACGGGTCTGTCCCGTGACCATGAAAGCTGTAAAGGGTTCAAAACGTCTGAAATTAAAACCAAAATAAACGAGATAAATCCGTGCGATTTGTTTGAATAGAATGAACTATTCTACAAAAGGGAATCGTATTTTTTTCATAATCAAAATGCTTCTGAAAGTGGCGAATCACTATCCGCGGGTCCAGATTGTCAGTCTTTCGACCTTCCAGGTACATTGCAGTCACTCAGCCGATAAAGTACGCGAAACACAAGAACAACAGGCGCGTGTGGTTTACCATAGTGCTGGTGTGGCTGGTTTCGGCCGCGATAGGCGCTCCCATTGTGCTAGGTCTCAATGACACCCCCGACCGCAACTTTGACGAGTGTCTCTTCAACAGCCAGAACTACGTGCTCTACTCTTCTATCGGCTCCTTCTACATACCTTGCATCATGATGATGTTCCTCTATTACAACATATTCAAAGTGAGTGGCATCGCCTTTCTCTTATAGATTGTAGGGGAATTATATATGGTTGAGTTAAGCTGTATTACAGAATTTGCCGAGTTCGATTACACTAATTAACTTTTAAAATAATCTGCAACTTAGGGTTGCGTACTAAAAGTAGTAAATCAACAATAATGATATTACATCGCCTGGTGAAAATGGATGATGTAATGCTAACAATATGTACTTACACTATCATAGATCATTTCATATGGACCACGCAACAGTCTATTCTGTTGTACGCATGAACAGATCCGTTCGAGGAATACACGACATCAAATTAGACCAGCGTGAAATGGAATTAATTTTAAGTAGATACTGAGTAAGAATACTTCTGCGTGTCCTCCGGTGAGTGGATAAACCGGGTTCCACTTTATTGAACACAAAATGGGATGCAAATGTCCATGGGCAGCGGTTATAACTCAAAATCAGGTGAACCGCAAGCTCGCTTGCCATCTTCTAACATAAAAAATTACTATTACTTTATGCAGACCAAGCTAATCATCTGAAAATACAAGTTCACGGACAAAACAATCATATAAATCATTTAAAACACTCACATGAGACTAGGTATCCAGTACTTATAATAGTCCTAAATTACAGTAAAAGAGGATTTTGGGTTATGGTAACTATTCATAGCTAAAAATGAATCGAATCAAGTAAACACGTTCATCATAAACTTTAAATTCTCGTATCATAATACTTACTACGTAAATTTGTATATTATTCGATATATATACATAGCGGATAATCACAATCTATTCATTTGCCATCGGCATTCTCACAAAATTTTTGTAGGCTCTGAGGAAAAGGGCGAAGAAACAGCGGGCGGCAAAGAAGCCCCCGATCTCCGGCGAGCCACTGACAGGCGTAACGACAGCCGTGGTCATAGAGAATGTGGCCCAGACGAGACAGCTGGCAGAGACAGTGCTCCACGATGATCGGCCTACCAACACCGGTTCCGGCAGCAACGAGGAAGACCACGACGACAGGTGGCCAATATTGACAACTCTTTTACAATCCTTACTTAAATTATAAAGGCGAAAGTTTGTATGTATGGATGCATGTTTGTTACCCTTTCACGCAAATACTACTGAATGGATTTTAATGAAACTTTACAGTTATATAGCTTATACATCAGAATAAGACATAGGCTATAATTTAAATACATATTTTATGAATATCTGTCTTTCAGTCCGAATGTTACGTTTTCAACCTATTCTACCCAGACGTAGTCGCGGGAAGCAGCTAGTTTTCCTATATTATATTAAACAGGGTTTTTCACCGTCTTTGTGGTTACTCGTTTCCTGGTACCCGCACCAGTGGTATTGGTTATTTTGCTTCCAAGTGCCGATTTATAACGTGCTCCGTGGGCGAAAGTAAACATTGTGAGGAAAACTACACGCCAAAGTAACATTCGACATCTTAATCAACTGAACACTTGTGCTATAATGTAATAAAAAATGTCAATTCCAACAGTATTCGCTGTTGCATGAATAGGCAGGTCCGTCCGGTATAGTACAGATATATGACCAGAGAAATAGATCAAATATTCTGACCACTGCGAATATAGCACTCGTTCGCTGCTGATACTCTTGTCTAATCGCAGTATCACACTTTTAAGAGACGAAGAGAAGATGTTGCCGAGTATGGTAGACTGGCGTAGCGGTCATTTCCGTACGGTACCATCGAGCATTTATGATGACGGAACGATATCTTACGATAATACAAGCGTTTGGTATTTGTTTTAGCTACGACAAGAGGTCAGCTGACTTGGAAGCAGAAGCAGACCATTGCCACGTCATACCAAATGACAAATCCACTGAGTTCATGCTCGCATCCGCAACGGAGGAGGGACCAAAGTATCTGAAATATAATTTATTATTTCAATGTACTCATCATCATCCACCCTTCTATGAATCATGGATCATGCCCTTCCAACCATCACCCTCATATGAATCGTGTTGTAAGCAGTTTTGGCCATGTTTTCTAAGACCGTCGAGCTGCCTCCCTCCTTGGGAAACAAATACTTGTCTCGTGTAGGAATTGTTCGATTCCTACACGAGACAAGTACGACCCCCGACGCCGAGTCGTATTTAAATCTACTCGTAGTAGTTAAATTTCGAATCATATCAGTGCCTATTCAATTATCCTCATTATATTTTTTCACTAATCAAGAAGGCTTTGAAGTAATACTGTATTGGGATGAAGGATATCATAGATAGATGACAACGTAGTTTTGTCATGAGTCCATTCAAAACGATAATTAGAGTCCTGTGGGTATTCTATAGGATGACTGTCATGGCGTGGAAATAACTACAAATCAGTAGTTAAATGATGCGACATGGACACATAATATATAAAGTATCCATTTTGATTGCCTCTTACTTCAATAATATGAAAATAAATCGAGAAAAAAGATACTTAAGTAATGTCTGGTAGGCAAGGCAATAAAAATAATTTAGTGTTTCAGCTCTGATAAAAAGTAACGTTCTTGCCCATTCACCATTATATTATTCACTTTGACTGTTCTTGCACACTCTGTTCTAAGGTAGTGTCATTAAAATTTTCTTTGTTGCCTCATTATTATTTATATTCACCGAGTTTGTGAAAACTGCTTGCTTATAACCAAGCCATCAATAAATTCTAAACACATTTTAAGGTTTTATAAAGTAACTTGAAATCTTTTTATTTATCATCAAAATTTCATTCCAGTTACAATTTTTAGTGATAATCTCTGCACTAAAGATCAGTGATAGTCTCTGCACTAATGATGAAACATTAAACTTTGTACAAAAAGGGACGAAAAGTTTCCGCCGCTGCGGGAATCGAACCCACGTCTTCCGGGTTCGAGTTCTTTTTTCTACAAAATTTTATTGTCATTCCAGTGGTCAGAATACCAGATTTTCAAATCATTTGATAGCGGAATAACAATACTAGCGACAGTAGATAAATTCCATTCATAGATAATTTTAAAATTTTGGTGATCAATATATTATTATCGTCTATGAATATATACCGCTGAGTGAGCACTTAATGATTTGTAGAATTCCAGTGAAATTGTACATCATATATTTAGTATTACATAAATGATCAAGTATAAGATACACAGACAGATAACCGACATAAACTAGCTTCTATAAACTTTTTTGTCTATCGATTCACATATGAGAAAAAGTAGTTTTTACAAATACTATTGTATTTGTAAAAACTATATAAATTAATTAAAAATGAGTCTTCATGGATTCTACCGGAGCTTCGAATTGTACGTGTATAGGCTTTTAATAGTTTATTAGTTGGCCGTAAGCGGAATACAGGCAGTGAATGAAACATAAACCCTGAGAAACTGCCAAATAATAAACATTGATTACGAGACAAGCAACGACATCACCATGCGATGACAATAAAGATAATACAAAAGAACTAATTTCAGGACGCCGAGAAGAATTCTTAAAATGCAAATGATGTCCGATCCAAATGGAAACAATGACTCGGGATACGCGGCCTCAAACCTGGAGGACATGACACGTGAACACGCTTCTCCGCCAGGATCTCCGGTAATGAGGGGTGCCGCTGTGTTGCAGAACATGTCATGCGACTCCAAGTGGAGGAAAAATGGAAAGATGACGAGGCTTGATCCTGGCTCTAGGTAATTTACGAAAAACATTTAATAGAAACACAAAATATTCAATACACAATTTAATTTCAAAACTTCATATCTCAACTTCAACTTCAGTCATCGCTTGCAAAATAATAATGAACATGTTTGATTTTTCAATTTTCGCCCTTATAAATAAATGAAATGTTGTTAGTTTATTTTATTGGTGTTGAACTCGGAAGAGAATTTCTTCTATATTTTAGAAATGCGTCGCTTGGCCTCCGTTCGGATGACGATCTCGATGCGAGCCAGTACGACCTCCGTGATGGAACTGCCTCCAAGAAGGAGAGGAAAGCAAGCGCTGCAACTGCCCGCTTCACAATCTACAAAGCGAACAAAGCCAGCAAAAAGAAGCGGGAGAAGTCATCCGCCAAGAAAGAAAGGAAAGCCACGAAAACTCTGGCTATTGTTTTAGGTGAGTTACAATTCTTTATATTTTTTTAATAAGGTTTAAATGATTTTGTAAGTACTTAATGTTATGTAGCGACTTATCTAAGATTATAATTATCTACACAGTTCCTTCGAGAAGTTTTTAATGGATTGGCTCTCTCAAGGACGTTACAAGAAATCGAGAGTATTAGTATTGTATTTAATTTTTACATTCAGACCGATATTATGATACAAACTGAAAGATGTTACCGTATTCAATTTTATTAAAAAAAAGTGAGGCATGGTTCCCTCACCCATTAGACGAAACGCATAAGTTTAATATTTCCACTTCACACCGGTCTACTGCGAGGCCGTGGTAGTTCCCTGGACGAGCTTGTCCATACATGCAAGGGCAGAAGCAATTGCGTGGTCCACAGCGAAAATCCAACTACTATCACTACCTTCCACAAAATATCAATAATTTAATATTAAACGAAGAAATTCACTGTGACGGATTAATCTGCAGAATTGAGAGTGAAAGATACAAAAAGTCTGAAGCAGTAAGATGGTAAACTCCTTTTGTTTCACAGGTGTGTTCTTATTCTGCTGGGCCCCTTTCTTCACCTGCAACGTCGTCGACGCCATCTGTGGGAAGTTCGGGCTTCAATTCAGTCCTGGTGTCACGGTCTTTATCCTGAACACTTGGCTCGGATACATTAATTCGTTCCTCAATCCTGTGATTTACACAATATTCAATCCCGAATTCAGAAAGGCGTTTAGGAAAATATTGAAGTGCAGTACCTAGCCCATAGATTATTTGGTCGTTTTCACTCAGTAGATCTCGAATTTTATTATAGTGTGATTCGATGTATCATCGGACACAAAATCGTTGATTCTTTTCCGAATTTTTCTACCCTAATTATCTCTATGCTATTGTAAAGACAACGAAATTTTTGATTTTTCAATTTGTTACCATACGGGAGATCTACTGAAACGACCAAATATAAAAATCTAGTGAATACTAAAGAACTATAAATAGTGCGTATCGTATTATAATTATGTTGTGATAACTCAATAATAGTTGTACTTCGTGTAAGTAGTTGTATTAAAATTACTAATTAGCATATCAAAATAATTGTAATACAGAATACAGATCTAGGTGACTATATTAAATTTAAGTAATATAACATAATTTAGCATAAAGGGCGACGAGAGTGCTAAGTGGGTATGTTAAATTTAAGGTATTAGACTTCTAGTCATGCTCCAGTATTACAAACATTACTTTATTAAGAAACACGCCAAAATATAAAACGATATTAGAGAGCTTTAGTTTGTATAAGGTTGTGATATATTTTTTTTACTTTTTAACTTGTTTAAATGTTTATCGTTTACAATTTATTGCTCACGTTAATTACAACATGTTATTCACGTATGTAATGTATTTAAGGGTGTAAGTATTTAGAGAATAGAGGTTAAATTAAGATCTCATGTAGATTACAGTCAATATAAAATTTATAACTCAATCTGAAAAAATAAAACAAAACATATACACCAAATACTCATTTGTTTGCCATTAATATATAAGTAATAAAACGCGTGCCCCTTAAACTTTGTTTTAGCTACCGCCATTTTGATTTAGTCTATATAGATTCCGTTAAAATAGTTTAGTTTAATAATGTGGATCCTTTTTCAATTTCTGCCTTTCCGTCCAGGAGCCTTTAATTTCTATTACGCTTAATATCATATTGTATATTTACACTTCACTTCCTGTTTATAAAATAATATAGTTTTAGGGAAAAAAATCATGTTGAGTTTACATAACTTTGCTGAGCCAATCCTACTCTTTAGTAAAATGTAATTCGGGCATTATCGCACTTCCGCTGTGGCGTATCAATATATCTTCCAAGCCCTTTACTAGTTATAGATACGTATAAACTTTGTAATGTCCTACGAGACAAGAAAGCACTGCGCGATTTGATATTATAGAATGTAGCTATTCCTCAAGTAATATTTTTACCATATGAAGAAATGTAAACGTAAAACCTTGTTGTTTATATAATTTATACCAATATAATTTTGTAACAATAAAACAAATAAACATTTGATTCATTTAAATGTAAATATAACTGTTATTAATAAACGATTTACTACTCCTACTGAGACTTTTAGAACAATGTACACACATAAGTACACTATCGTTTATAATTATTTTTACGAAGCAATCGCTAGCGAATGATGTGCCATAATCTATTCCCTAACGTTCAAATATAGATTTAGATTTCAAAAATTATTTTCACTTGTGTTGTTTTGTGCTGGTCATCCTGTCATTATTAAGCAAATTTTGTCTTGTGATACCTAATATAGTGCAAATATCAAAACTATTTAGGCGTCTGTAAACCTTTCCATGATGATATTCCAAATAATTTTTTCATTGTTAATGTTGCGGTGTTCTTTTCATATTTAAATTCAAATTTAAGGGTGGTAGAGCCACGCAGCAGCCTCGGCTGTTGCACGAATGGGCAGGCTCGTCCGGGTAAGTACCACGACCTCACAGAAGACCGGCGTAAAGTGAAAGTATGACAAATACTTTCGCGTTTCGTCTGGTGAGTGAGGTAGCCGGAGCCCAATTTCCAAAAAGGTTGTCAACGCATCTGCAAATCCTCGGGTGTAGCAGATGTCTATGGGCGGAGGTATTCACTTAACATCAGGTGGACCGTCTGCTCGCTTGGCAACTTTTCACATTAAAAAAAAATATATAAAAAATACTCATGCACCAAAAATGTTTACCGTTATTTACAACAACATCAGTGTAATGAAGGTTTGAAGACAGTGAGCATATTCACGTGTCACTTTAATTTATTGCTCAATATACTCAGTATTATAAACTTACTTTAATATACCTATTCTATTCGTTGATTTGTTGGTGATGAGAATTACTTTTATTTATTTAAACCACAAATGGTGGTGGTACCCACATAACCGGGTACCAGTCAACCTAAAAAACATTTACCCTCCGATTCTCTTATTTGTCTAAATTATAATCATCGGACGTTACAATGTTTTTGTTGGGATTAACTGTATGTAAATCTTATATTGTATAGGTGTTTAAATTTTAGAAATATAAAGTCCTATAATAAACCATTATTGGTAAATATTATAACTATACGCATGCTTAATTTAAGTTGTAAATAAAAAAATAATGTAACAGGGTTCCTAAAGTGAATCCAAAAATGAACAGCAATTTACGTTAAATATGTAAATAAGCAATAGACAGCAGATATAAGAAAATGTGAAATTTATTTCTCCTAGTAAATATATTAATTCATGAAAATGGTAATAACTTGTATCAAACAAAGTTTACGTTTAAGGAATCAAATGATAATCTGTAAAGAGCTATAGCTGCTTTTAAAGAATAAGACATTCAACATACCAATGTACATTTATAAAGTATTTGATAAGCCAAAAACAAATCTGATTAGACTGTAACATAAAGTTTAACTAACCTGTAAATATGATTAAGAAATGTTCGATGTAGACGATACTGTAATTATATTTCAATTTTACGAAAATGCTGACGCTCAGTCTCCACATTTACTAAGTATCCTAAGACAGCAAAGCACAAAAACCTCAAACGTATTAAATAACATTTTAATATTTGCGTTACTCTAACATAAAGGTAGATAAAGGATAACTTGTTAAATAATCTATTGCAATATAATTCTTATGTTTCCTATATAAGGTAGTGTTTTACTTTTTTAACGCGAGTTGTGATGATTCTCTGAATAAATATATTTAATTCTGTTTATAACTCATTGTCTTATTTACCCTAATGCCTCGGATTATATCTATAATCGCTCGATAATCACTTTAGATACTTCATTTGTGTTTTATTTTCTTTTCAATTAAAATTTTATTTTCAACAAAGTTGTATGGATTAATTTTCATTCTTAGTGCTAGTCTCGGCACTTAAGATGAAACTAAGTTATAAAATTTTGTAGATAAAAATAAAAAAAAACTTTCGGTGCAGCGGGATTCAAACCTGCGTCTTCCGGTTTCGCACACACACGCGTTACCAACTACGGCGTGAAAATCTCGACATCTACTACATTCTTCCTATTAGATTTTTATCTACGAAAATGTAACATTTAAACAGAAAGGTTCAAAACAGGTCACAAACTAATATTTATTCAGAGAAGTAATTTAGAGAACACATAATACACAAATATGTAACCAAATAAAGCATAATCTAAAAAAAAAAGTAATAACAAACTATAAAAATATCTAGGATATATAATATCATCCCAGACAATATTGGATAATTCTTATATTGAAAACCGATAAGAGTATATTACCTAATGCTTAGGTAAGCTTACGTAATGAAACTAATCCTAATACAACTAGATACTTCAGTATACTCCATTTAGGTAGACAGAGATATACTAGCATTTATTACTTTTTTCGACTGATCACCGTTTCAATAAATTTATCAAACAAAGCTTATGACCGTTTTAATAATATAAACAGTATTTTGGTAGAATTGAACCAATGACAAACTAAATCAGAATTCAAAATTAGGCAACTTTATTGTTAATTTTTGTACAGAAATATCAGATTCAATGATTTAATGATGACACAATTTTGCAATACAGAAATAAACGACATAGTACATACACTTAAACTAGATTTTGTTATAAATAACGGTCATAATCGTAGCTTACGTTGCTTGTAGCTTAGTCAGTTCTGAATAAAACAGTGCATACATACGGACAGTGCAAACATTCTATTATTTAAAGTAGCTAGTCACGACAAACACCTTTTGTTGCCCATTGTGCTATCTCGTTAGCTTACACTTATTTCTACAGTTTGCTGAGCATATTAAAGCAGAAAGGCACAAAGTGGAAGAAACAAGAATGTACACATTTATTTAAAATACTAAAATTATAGAACAAAAACTTATGACTCGGTACGGACGGGTGGTATTTGGAACAGGACGTTTTAGAATAGGAACAGATAATATATAGATCATATATTTGTTTTGACACCGCCACCGCCAGTTACCGAAGCACTGACGACAATCAACAGGCCAATGACTGTGGCGCAGTTGCCAAGGTATTAGCGTCGGCGTCGGCGGTCGTGACTTCGATTAACACAACTATTTGTGTTATCCACACATATATCTTTCGCACCTGTTCGTCCTTACAACACAGGATAATGTTATCCCAAAGTAAGGGCAATATTTTTTTTTTTTAATTATAAAGAGAACTACTTCTTTAACAGTGGCAGGGCCTCACAGCTTATGCCGGTCAACCAATATAATCTTCATAAATTACTACTAAATAGAGTGTATGGGATTATTATTTTTTTTATGTGCGAAGGTGACAAACGAGCTGACGATTTACCTGATATTAAGTGATCACACTGCGAACCGCCACACATGAATATTTGCACCATCCGTAGGGTTGCAGATACGTTGCCACTTTTTAATATCTCTGTGAGGTCTTCTGTGAGGTCGTGGTACATACCTGGATGGACGGCCCTACCACAATTATATTTACTTTGATTCTCTTGAATATTTGATAAAAAAAACATTGCCCTTACTTTAGGATAACATTACCCTGTGGTGTAAGTACGTTTTACAAATATAAATTTCACGTGGAGAAACACCCAGATGCGCCACAACTATCTGTCGGTGACACAAATAGTTTTCCCGTGTGGGGATCGAACCCACGCTTCCCGATGCCGAAGCCAATACAATAGTATACATCGAAACTTTAAGTACGGTAATATCCCCACCTAATCCAA